GAACCCGAAGGTTCATCACCGAATTAACCAAAGCCCTGTCCTGGGCCAACAAAATCCAGTCTCCTTCAACTCCTATCTCCCATAGATCCCGCCTGAGATTATCCTCCCATCTACGTCTAGGTCTCCCCAGCGGTCTCTCCCCCTCAGGCTTCCCGGTGCACACCTCTTGTCCCATCCATGCGCGCTACATGCCCAGCCCATCTCATTCTTCTCGACTTAATCACCTTGACAATATTGGGGGAGGAGTACAGATTTTTAAGCTTATCATTATGCAGTTTTCTCCACGCCCCATCGTCTTCCCTCTTAGGCCCAAATATCTTCCTCAACACCCGATTCTCAAACACCCGCAATCTGTGTTCCTCCCTCAGAGTGAGAGACCATGTTTCGCACCCATAAAAAACAACAGGCAGAATTATTGTTTTTGTGTATTTTAAGAGGTACTGATGCTTCCAAGTGCTGGTCAGCTTCGTTGTAGGGGATGTTGCAGCATTGGAATGATCCGTTGCTGGTACAGAGATGAGAGGTGTCTCGACAGCGGTTTCAAGGTTGTTTCTTTCAAACAATGAACAAATAGTCTTATCAGATCTACTCCACGTGCACGTCGAACCTAACATGATATTTGCTTCAAAACAACTCGCTCTCGCCACTATTGTTTTAAATTACAAATTGCAGATAGCGACCGGCACCCTGGCGCCATACTTCCGGCTTCAATCTTTCACAAAATGTCCCGTACCAAATTATTGTTTGCTGGAACCCAGAAATGCGCTGTCACAAGACACTAGAAGAATAAAAAAGTTTTTCAGACAAGCATGAGGTGGAATATATGTAGTCAATACTTCACAAAATCGCCCCTTAGGTTTCTCAGACAGTCGTTTCATGAAAAAATGAAAAAATCTATTCAAATTGTAGGATTTATATTGGTTTTCTTAACACTGCAAAAACGTATTTTAGAATCCGTTCACTGTTTCCTTACCATTACATTAAGGAGGCTGCAGAAAACTGCACAGTCAGGGATTCCATGGTTCTGACGTTTTCAAATATTATCATCATCCTTATTTATCAAAATAAATAAGGATGAGATGGGCGGGACACCTAGCACGAATGGGAAAGATGAGATTACTCGCATGAAAGAGACCTTTTGGAATACTAAAACGTTGACGGTAGGGTAATATTAAAATGGAACTGAAATTTGAAATGTAGGAGTGGCATGGAATTTAACTTGCTCAGAACGGGCACGAATAGTAAGCTTTTGTGACTGTGGCAATGAACTTAAGGATTTCATAAAAATCTACAGTTTCCCTTAACGGGTTTGGAAGTCTGTTGTAATGACATTGAAAAACTGGTTCTGTCCGCCGGCCACTTGGAAATCCACGTGAGGGGAAAACGGCTTGGGTGTTTTTTTGGGGGGGGGGGGGGGTTGTTACCAGGTTGACTAGAGAGCTGCTATTGGTGGAAAATATATCACGCCATCGCGTTACACCACTACACACACTGACTGAAAACATCAAGCAGCTAATGGGTATAGCTATGATTACCTCACAATGGCACAGTGATTTAATATAGAATATTATCACAACACTCACAGAACACACTACAGATGCACAAGCTATGTGTGGTTCGACGTAGAAGTTATGTCTGGTATTTAACTTCCCACCTGCGGTTCGACGTACACCGTACGTGCGGCTGTAACACATGAAAACCTTGTTTCTGTTCCTTAGTGGTTGTGAAACGAATGCTTTCAGGATGGCTAGTAGCACTCCCCCCTCCCCTCCATTACATTTCAAACTTGCGTTGGTCATTGCGTCAGCTTGTAAGACGCTTACTGCCGCGCAGTCTGTTCTGAGCGTTACTGAGTGGTGGTTGAAGTTGCGTGGCGTGGCTTGGCTTGGCGGTATTTCATAGACCCAGGTAATGAAATCAGAATATTCATTGCAGTAAGGAACGTGAGTTGAACGTTGTGGTTTCACTTTTATCATTTGGTTATCCTTTAAGACGCTGCAACGTAAGTTGATGTTTGATTTTTGCCGTTTTAGGGCGTGATGAGTTTACGTTATATTGTGCAAAGGGCGGGAATGGAAGAACACCGCTTAAAAGTGACTGCATCGATTGTTAACTTATGTTGGGTAGGTTAGGATTCATTTCTAGTGTACCTTCATTCTAATAATTATAATATGCGCCATCTGGAAGCGGAAATATCAATGCTGAGTGGTTCTTCCATTATTACATCACCCACCTGTGACGTCATGATTACCCGAAAAGGTGCTGTAAACATGCACATTAACTGAAATGTGTAACAATTCAGAGATCAAAGTGGTTACCACAGAAGTTGCTTTGTGTGAATTTGATGTCTGGAATCCAGTCAACTAGTCTTCACAGGACTTGGTACATTTTTGTTCTCAGGACTGGAACAGATGAAGCCGGGGCCCTTGATGGTGACTGCAGAAGTCATCAGGGCCATTGATGGTGAGTGGAGAAGTCATCATGACTGGAGTGTAACAAGTAAGTGCCAGTATGACCTGGAGATTTCCTTGAAACTAAAATTCTTAGGTTGCCAGCCATGTCGTGTGCTTGAAAGGTAATCTTAAAACCTTGCTTACTGTGTAGTGTATTGGAATATAAGACATGCATACAAACAGAACTGTCTGCACTTTGAAGGACAGTAATGCCAGACGGATTTTGACCTCATGAGGTCATCAGTGTCTAAAAGATTATGGTTTTTAACTGAGCATAAAAGGCAAGTTCTTCACTAAATCACATTTATGTAATACCACACTGGATGTTGATTGCTCAGGAGTTGGCTGTTTTGTCGGCTTGCCGTTGTTGCGTTGCCTGTGAACTTCGATGATGTGTGGGTGTTACTGTTGGTTTTAAAAATGTAGAGGGCATAAATTAACTCCTGATAACAGGGTGGCCCACTATTGCATAAGAAATTTACATTTTTCTGTTTATTGCCAGGTCAAATAACTTGTAGTCATGAGCGTTCTGATCATTTATGATATTTAGGTTTTTGCTAGTTTTGTATATATTGGATTTTTATAAAATGTCAGCATTTTACCTTTCGAGGCTTTGTTCTCATCCTCAATGCTAAAAGTGCTCAGTTTCTTCAAAGATTGATTTTCTCGTCTTTCAACCACTTGGCATGGCTGGTAGCCTGAGAGAAATTCATTATAAGTAAGAGGCAGTGTTTAAGTGTCAGTTTTATCATTCAGTGTGGAATAACCATGGCGTAATAGCGTAAGGTATTGTAGAGCGATTGAGAGCCATTTACGTAGTGGAATCACGAATTCATGTCCCACGATATAGTTCTGGTCTTCGGCACTTACTACCTCAGGTGTCATAACTTGAATTAATGTCGCCTAGCTGTTTATGTCATGCCACGCCTCACTTGAGTAAGTGAATGGAAATGAATTGTCTGTGGAACAGGTGCGTGATGAAAATATAAAAGAAAGAACAATCAGAAATAAATTTGTAAATATGGACGAAATTAGGCTGAAGACATTTCACTGTAGTTATTTTTTTCAAAATTTTTGATTTGAATATTGATGACAAAGTAAAATGCTGGAAATGATATATTGTAGGATGTTCTCAGAATTGGTGAGTTTGAAAACTGTCGCTTTCTGCGCTGAGCAATTTTAGATCTGCTGCCTTTAAAGTTTTATCATGAAAGTAGTTAAAATCGTCTTTTAATTTTCAAATTACGTCATCGACTAGAAGTGCTTAGGTTTGCGGTTATTGAAATGTGCCTGCACCAACAAAGCAGATATTCAGGCCACATTTATCGGATGCTGAGATGTGTTTTTAAAAATATATATATATTATTTTATGATAAACACTGAATAATCAGTAATGAAAATTAATTTAATTTATTTTACATGTAGTTTACATACAATATGTAATTTGAATTATACACAAACAACTTTGAGGGTACAGAGTTGAAGAGAAATTATATCTGGTCTTACGCGAACAGAAAAAGGTTGAATACCACTGTTATAAAGCACTCTGCATAAAAAGATGGCAATTTTTGAAACCATACTTCATGTAATACCACACTGAATGATTAAGTTTTATGTAAATTTCTTCGCTTAATGTCCACTGGCCTAAGTTGAGGTTTCTTTTGTTCCTGCGGTGAGCCGTGGTTACGTTGTCTGTGACTGGATTGTGAACTTCAGTATTGCATGGGTAATACTGTCACCACGGGGCTTGCTCACAAAACAAAAAGAACTTGTTCATGCTCGTAAGGTTCTTTTACGTGCTGTAAATATGAGACATGGGACTGCAGGCTTTCATTGATTGGCTGTTATTGATCAGATTTGAAGCAGGAAAGTAACGAGCATTTTCATAATTTTTGTAATGAAACATTTTCCCATTTGTTACTCAAGTATAGGAATATTTGAGTTTTTCTGACAAATTTCTGTTGCTGCTGCAAGCCGTCATGATTCAAACACTTGACCCCAGAGTACCAACTGAGAGGTTGAAGGAATAACATTCATGCAGCAACAAGAAAGTAGTGTTTCACAAATAGTTTGATTTTTCAAGGGTTGGTGATTTTTTGTTATAGTCTTTATCCCCCCTACTCCCACCGAATAGTCTGTCTATACTGAGGTTGATGTTATTAAATATGTACAAGAGTGCTATTACGTTGAACGTATCATAAATACAGTATGTTCTGTAATTTTGATGAAAGTATTACTAAAATGGCGAACAAAAATTGATTTAATCAGAAATAACCGACCTACGGCGACAACAGCCGATGTGGACAACGTAATTTTTCTTCGTCTGAGTATTATATTAATCCCGTGCTACTATCGCCTGCTGGTTGGCGACTGACGTGTGTTAGTGAGCGTGTGAGCTTGGTAAACAGGATAAATAAGCGAATTTAATATTAGCGTGTTAATAGTTGTTGCTGGCACGATTTCTTCTTGACTTGTGGAAGGACCCAGAGGTATCGAGAGGCATGGAGTCTTTCACAGGCTACCCTGACTGAGGGTTTCTGAGCCTTTCCTCAATTTTAAGGCAAAGGCCAGGGTACAATTCAAAAGCGTCACATCCAAACATGGAGGCCTTTAGCTGAAGTCCCCCTCCCCCAAGTCGCAGAGGCCATCAGGCAAGATTTTAAGATTAAAGTTTTGTAAGGCATTACACACATTACATATTTTAAAACACATGGCTGAGTTAAATTGTAACAAGTATAACTGACATGTGAAGTGTATGGTAGAACATGCTTGCACTGATTATACTTCAGCGGAACTTAAGACGTAGTACGTATAATGAAGAGAAAAGTGGAATGTCCATGTGGAAGTGGAGTCTGTCTCTCTTAAGTATAACATTGGTCCCAGAGAGAGACAGCAAATGATTCTCTCTCATGCATGCAGACAGTATTACAGATTTAGGAATATGTCCATGGCGACGGATATCATACAGCCACAAACCTCTCAACAGAAAATTAATACCGGAGTATGGCAACGGTTACAAAATAAAAATAATATTAACGATGAAAGCTTGGATGTCACAGTGGATGGTTTAGATAAATTACAGCTCGTTATCTTATATGTAAATGTCCTGTTCTCCGTTCTGTAATTTAAATGTAATTCATGCCGTCATATACCTGAAAATAATGTGAAATGCATTACTTGTGTACCATTTGCGCATTCATGAAAGCCACATGCTTTAGTCTCAGGTTTTGCTTTGCGGTCTGTAGTCCGTGCAGCATCGTTCAAATTCTTCAGTCGATTTAGCAGATTGTATGAGGTTTTTCATCTTTAGCTATGAGCGTGGACAGTTTGTCTTTTCTTGCTATTTCGTAGCTTGATTGTGAACGAGGCTGCAATTCCTTAATATAATTATCGTATGTGTACTGGGTATCCGGAGGTTCTTTCTGAAATATTCCCGGTATATTTGGCTTTCTACCGAACGTGAGTTTGTGAGGGGCATATCCAGTGGACGTATGAGGGTTCATATTAAATACAAAAATGACGTAAGAGATCCACTTGTCCCAATTAGTTTGATCTTCGAGGATGAAACGACGAAGGTACTCTACTATTACTCTGTGAGTTCTCTCTAGTGCTCGATTTGATTGCGGGTGATATGCAGTTGTCTTTATATTTTTGATTTTTTAGAATCATACTAATGTTTGTGAAGAGTTCACTCAAAAAGTTTGGCCCTTGGTCTGTTAGAATTATTTGTGGTATTCCGAACTTTAACACAACTTCTTCTACAAAGGCCTTGGCTACAATTTCGGCATCTCGTTGTCGGATTGGAACGGCTAGTGTGAATTTTGACAATTCGTCTTGGAATGTTAACAAATACTTATTTCCATCTAGTGTTAGTGTTAAGGGGCCAACAATATCTATTTTGGGTAGATTTGTTTGGGTTTAGTCCTACTAATGTGGTAGTGTGGCTTGGCATGGAGCAAGGCAAGTTCCCAAGGATGCTGTCGTCAGCTTAAACATACTCAGCTGATATGATAATTCGTCCATGAGGCTACAGCTTGTTCCCTAAGACTACCACATTTATTTCTAACACTAAGTACTACATAAATTTCACATTTGTATTAAAACATTACCGGAATGGAGACCGATGGGAAGAAGGATGAGAGGGAGATCACGGAAACGATGGATAGACGACGTGGAGGACGATGGGAGTAAGGGGATGGAGAAGAATTGTGAATGATAGGACAGAATGGAAAAAATTCATCGAACAAGCTAAGACCCACACAGGGTTATAACGCAATATGGAGAAGAAGAGATTAAAACATTACCACCCTAATTCAGGCTAGTTCACTTTATCGTTAGTACACTCTGGATATTTATTAATCTAGCAGTACTATACTCAGATTCATCGCCTCAGCGCTTACCTGTTACAAGTACCCCGATCAGCTGCACCTTGCTAATGGCTTTGGTGACCTTCTATCTTCAAAGTTCCGGCCGTTCTGACCGCGATCTCTTAAACTTCCTTGTCAATTACTTCGTAGTCATGTTCCTCTAATTTTAGTCTCGAACTTGGATCTTTTACGCTGAATATCCATGTTTTAGGGCGGTGGTCAGTAACTATTGTGAATCTTCTACCATACAGGTATTGCCTGAAATATTTGCATCCCCACACAATAGCTAACAGTTCCTTTTCTACAGTGAAACACCACAACTTTGAACAGGTACTCTTTCTCAGAGTCCATAAATGCAGCTGATGGCATGGAACTTCTTGCACTCTAATGCAGGAGTTAATAGAAATGTCTCTTCCGACCTCATGTTGGTTTGAGGTCAGCATTTTAAGCAGCTGGACACACCCCAATATAATTTCTTCCACTGCTTCTTCAGATATGTTTATCTTTCCCTTCTGTAGAATTTTGTCCAGTCTGACGGCAGCGTTGACTGCCGCATCTAGATCTTCTTTGTGAAGGTCACAGATGCACATACGCAGTGTTGACTGGCTGCTTACCCCTCACATCCATGTTATGTGATAGATTTTAATTCTGGTGGTGGTGACAGCATTGGATAGGTACATGATGTTATGCGAAACCTCCATACCTGCACCAATGATTCCATGACTCGAAATTGCGGCCCATTCATTAACTTTTTCCGCATAAGATTCTCTTTCGTGCAGTATGTGAGGATGTTCCCTTGCCGAGAATGAAACGTTTTGTTTATTCACAACACTGTTGACATGAAAGTAGGCCTCGTCTGTAAACCACGTGTTGCCCATTGCCCACAATGCAAACTCTAGGCTCCGCTCCTTATCTCTCGCCATAAGTTTATGCATTACGGTCATTTTGTGTGGGAACAAGTGAAGATCTGAATGCAGAATTCTCGATGTGACTGATGAGAGGTTCCCAACTCAGCAGAAGCCGTCCTTGTTGATTTGCCGGGACTTCGAGTCATGAGTCTGAAACTCATCATCTTTTCTTTGATCCTTGGACCAAATTTCCTCCAATACATGTGATAAAAAATGACACATAGTTTTCAAAGATGTCATATTAGATTCCTCCTGTGGGGGACTGGACTAGCCACGCTTTTAAATGTACGTTATTGTTATTGATATGAACCATCGGTTTGTTCCGCTCCTAACAATTTCTGTTTATTTAGCGGTTTTACAGTTTCATACGGTTTCACACTGCGGTGTGAACATTCCCATGGTCAGCTTGTAAAGCCATGGTTTCGTCGCCAGGCTCAGCTGCCAACTACGTACTTCACTTTCTGCTATATTGCGCAATGGAATTCGTTGTAATGTTCCATATGATTGTTTCTCTAGACGTGTGGTGGACTGTCTCTGGTTAACTGAGCATTTAAGTCTCAGATCTCAATTAATCAGCCATTGGACCCTATCCTCTGCACATCGATTCTATCCGCCCCCACCCCCTCAATTCACACAACCAAAAAGGCAGGGGATGTTAAGAGTAAGACAAGACTTTTGGAGATGCGAAGATGTCAGTTTTAATCAAATACCAGCTGAGGCACGAGGACAACCACAACGTCACTACGTCTTAAGACTGTAAAAGCGTTACAGTCCTCAGCGTCCACCACTTGGCACTACATAACAGACAAATCACAATCCCTCACCTCAATGATGTTGCCACCCTCATCGCCTGGTCGCAGGAAGGAGACCTCATTCTCTAAAAGAACTTCGAAGTCAACGAGGTCCTCCCACTCTGAATCCAGGGCATGCGGCATCACCAACTTCCTTCTCGAGACGTCATCCCAGTTTATGCCCTGTAGGATGAAGCACAAACGTTTAAAAAACTCTTTAGCTGTGCAGAAAGTACAAGGATCTTGAAATACAAATTTTGGTCTGTGCCTTA